ATTCATCTCATAAATTGACAATAATGAAATAACCTTATTTTTACACATTTCATTAAAATTTTAATAAAACTCCTATGAATCTTTTTTATTTGAAAAATTGTGTCTCAAAAAATTATGAAATAAATGTCAATTAAACGGCCACATGTAATCGTATTACCATTAATGAATGTACTAATGAAATCATCATGGATGACCCTTGTATCATATCATCAAGATGTCATTCAATTCTAAAAATGTACACTTTCGAGTTTCGAGCTAAATAGAGGAGAAATATTAATGCGATTCTCCATTGCTCCATCGTTGAAAAACTCTCTTCCACGAGCATCTCTTGGATGCTCGCCGCTAATGACGACAGCGTTATGGAAATCGTTTGTAGATCATTTAATAAAAAGAGTTTAGTTACGGGAGATATCGGAGAAATTTACTCAAACATCGAGAAAAGTATAATTTCGAGTGGAATGCGAGTATCAAAACGGCCGTAGGAAAGTTTACGATGTGATTTGCGCGAACAACTCTTTCAAAATTGCTGAAGTCAGCATGTAAAGGATGGTGGACGGTTGGAAGTAAACGCCCTCGCATTCCACTATAAACGATGCACCCTAAATGAAATTACCCGTTAGAAATTAGATCGTAGTCAAAAGGTCTCTTGCTGCGGCTATGTCCGACCGAAATTTCTACGCTTGAAATTAGTGCGCTAGGAGTATATGTACTGGCATTTAGTAAATATATTGGTATATACGCAACATTTCAGTGGCATTTGGTAAGAAACGTGGTAAGCGGCGCAGTTTATTTTCGGCGTATCATACACACGTGTGTATGTGGTAAAACGAGAATGTGTAAATAAGATTTACATTGGGGGAGAGAGATTTATATAATATTAAAAGCAATATTTGCGATATTTCAAGAAAGCAATATATAACATCAAGATCAGCTATTAAATACGACGATGAGTTTTACGATACGTCACATTTTAGAGACAGGATTCAATGTATAGTACTGAAAATTTGTTATTAATCTATCTAGAAAATTGATAAACAACCGAAATAAAAACTTTATATTTTGGTCTATCCTTTCTCTTCAAATTTTATATCGATCGTTTATCGAAGTCTTTCAGAACTTTATTCAAATTGACCAGTTTCAAAGAAATTCCTTTTTATTTCTACAATTACGTCGAACGGAGTTTAAGTCGATTCGAAAGAGCGGAAAAAGCACTTAGGCGGAACTAATACGATCGGCTTTGAGCTAGAATTTTCTAGGGATTTCTAGTAGCGCTACGATCTTCGAGCAAGAGACAGCCGTTGTTAGATACAGTGCCTCTTCCTATTCGTCGTTCTTCACCTGCTGGTCAACGACATGGAAACTTTCTTCGTGACAATTTGACGTATTCACCGGGGCTACTCGGCTTTTGTTGCCTTTTTAAGCGTGCAACACGAGACTCGCTAGTTGCGACTTCGCCGCGCTCGGCACGAACAACTCCAGACTTTCTTTGAAGCTACCCGGCCGAGTTGCTCTCAAGTGGAAATCCATTGTTCTTTTTGCTACGCGCTCTAGTTTTTCGATTTAAGAGAGCTGTCAGTGCTTCTCTTTTTTCTTCTTCTTCCCTTCTTTC